GTGACAGGGAGAAGGGGTGGTTGGATAGGGCAGGAGTCCTGGGGGGGGCAGTCAGGAATGAGAGGAGGGGTTGGATGGGGTGTCGGGGGCAGTCAGGGGACAGGGAACGGGGGGAGGGTTGGATGGGGCAGGAGTCCTGGGGAGGGTGTCAGGGGGCAAGAAGCAGGAGGGGTCGGATAGGGGCCGGGGACGGGCCACACCTGACTGTTTGGGGAGGCACAGCCTCTGCTAACTGGCCCTCCATACAATTATGGAAACCCGATGCGGCCCTCAGGCCAATAGTTTGCCTGCCCCTGATCTAGTCTGACCAACCGCCTATGTAACACATGCTATAGGACTTCCCCCAAAGTAATTTTTTTTTAACTAGAGCACATCTTTAAAAAAAATACAATCTTGATTTTAACATTGTCAATGACAGAAAATCCACCACAATCCCCTGGTAAATTGTTCCAATGATTAATTACTCCCACTGTTAAAAATATACACCTTATTTCCAGTCTCAGTATGTCTAGCTTCAACTTTCAGTCACTGAATTTTGTTATACCTATGTCTGCTAAACTCAAGAGCCTATTACAAAATATTTGTTCCCCATGTAGGTACTTATAGACTCGAAACAAGTCACTCCTTGACCTCCTCTTTGTTAAGCTAAATAACTTGAGATCCTTGAGTCATGCTGATGCAGTTCAGGATTGAGATGTATGGTAGTGCTATGTGGGAATGGAATGGCTGAGGTGTAACAGGTGCACTTGGAGCTGTGTGAGGGGGGCCCAGGTTTAAAATAACTTGAATGTTGTAGATCAGGCTTAAGGTGAATTAACAAATCTGGGGTAAGAGGGGATTTATAAGAGTGCCATGATATGCCTGTTGCAGGTGAACCATGAGGTGTATTGGCAGAGCCATGCAGGTCAGGAAAAGAAGGGGATGCCATGGGTCAGGATTGGATTGCCCTGAAGAGTTGTCATAAATGTCCTTCCACACCTGAACGAAGGTAGTGTAACTGCTGTGCCATTCTTTTTTTGCCTTTGAGCAGCAAAGCCCTGGCAACTAAGAATGGGGATCGTTTTATTATGAAGTGCCCTGGGGGCTAAAGAAGGGAATTCTCCTACCCGCTAATGAAATTGACAGCAAGCACTGCCCCCAAGCAGCGAACTGTCCTGCAAAGAGACGAACCGCCTCGGCAGTGGAAGAAATTGCAATGCATGATAGCGATCCCGGCCATAATTCAGCATGATCAAAGCGCCCAAATCATGCTAATTTCAGTCACAGTCCAAATGTCTCCTTCCTAAAACCGGCACTAACTACCAATGAGATGACAGCCCCGAACCAGCTTTCTAAAATCCAAGCCAAAATGCAAATACAAACAAACAAAAATTAGAGGCGCATTAGAAATTACATCTCCCCCCTCCATCCCTTTGCTAGGTACCCCCTTCTTGCTGCCTCTCTTGAGGGAGCTGGCCCCAATCCCAGTGGGATACAATGTCAAGGCTTCTTCGGGTTTATGCTGGAATTCAGCCTGCTTTCCCCTTCGCAAGATCAACCTCAGCCAATGGCAGCCTCCGGCTCTGCTGGGAGGCGAGCTGGGATTGGTGCAGGAGCTCTGCTGATCACTGTGGAACCCCCCCCCCCCAGTGATGAATGGAGGGGCATGTTGCTGGGGGAGGGGAGGGCAGCGGGTTGAGGTTCCCACAGAGCAGGGTTATTAGCGAAGAGGGGAAGCCTATCCGTGCCGGGAAGAGCAGCCTAGGGGGCACTTCAGAGCAGGCAGCGGGGCGGGGTGACTGCAAAGGGGCTGGCAGCGGAGAGGGAAGGGAAGACAAAGAGAAGCCCAGAGCGAACATGAGAGGCGGGAAGGGGGGAGAACAGGGGATCAGCTGAATTCAACCCAGGGGAAACGCTCTTTCCTTCCAGCCGCCCTCCAGGAGGCGCAGGCAGGCCGGGGGGCAGCGGGCGGTTCGGGCCGGGGGAGCGCGGAGCGAGGGGCGCCCATGGGGAAAGGCGGGGAGAAAGGCGAGGAGGCAGGGGAGCGCGAGGCGCAGAGCCGGCTCTACAGCTGGGAGGAGATCCAGCGGCACAACCTGCGGACCGACAAGTGGCTGGTGATCGAGCGGAAGGTTTATAACATCACCACGTGGGCAGCCAGGCACCCGGGCGGCCCCCGGGTGATCAGCCACTACGCCGGCGAAGATGCCACGGTAAGGCACAGCCGCCTCCGGGGGACTCTGACACGACACCTGCCCGCGGCTCGGGGTGGGGAGGTGGGGGGCGCTAGTGCCCGGCTGGCCGCGGGGTAGCGCCGCTGAAGTCAGCCGGGGGCACCAGGTGAGAAGCGGGTGGGTGGGGAATCGCGAGGCATCCCCCCCCCCCGGTGTTTGCCTTTGGTCTGGTGCAGCCTCGGCCCCTTGAGTCCGGGATCAAGCGATCCCCAGTTCTCTCCCTGCCTGGCAGGTGGCCCTCGAGTGGGGAGCCCCGCTAGCCAGCCCCCAAGAAAGGGGGTAAGCGGGGGGGGCAGCGCAGGCTCCGAAGTGGCTCTTGCAGGAGGGGGGGCTTGAGGGGGCAGAGCGGGGAGCCGCTTTGCTCTCTCCCCCAGGAGGCAGGTCTCTAGTGGTCTCTGCCGCCCTTTGTAAGGAAAGAAGCGGATCCGTTTCGCCCAGGCTGCTGCCACAGCTGTTGCTGCTGCACTGAGCTTTGCCTCCCGTTTCCATGGCTTCCAGGCCAAAGAGAGCAGAGCGGAGCAGCTGCAGGATCGGCCCCTGGTTCGCTGGCGGCGGGTTCCCAAACCACCTGCCCCAGGAGCACAGCCATCGAGTCTGTGCGCCTCCCAGCCCATCAGCCAGCCGCTCGCTGCCTTGTGGCTCTCCACACTGTGTGTGCCCCAGACGTCAGGGGGCCGGAGAGAACAAGCAGCGGGATGAACTAACCACTTGTCTACCGTGGCTGGGGCTCCTCAGCAGAAGGGGGAGGTGGGTCTGACATCGTGCACTGCAGCTGGCTTGCCCCAGGTGTGCGTTTGCTGCAGGTCACTGGCGGTGAGATTATTTCCAGTCACTTTCCTTAAAGTACAATGATTTCCTTTGCTGCCTCTGTACCCTCGGAGCAAAGCCTCTGAATGAATGGGCTTTGCAAATGGGCCATATTCTCCTTTCAGCTGCATTCGCACAAACCCATTGAAACCAGAAGGGTTGCAGCTGCAGACAGTACAAATGAGAGACCGCTGTGGCTCAGATGTCTCCAGTTTGTCAAAGGGCATTTGGTCTTGCTCTCGGGTTCAGCTTGTCTTTGCGAGGATTGTCCCACAGGTTTGTGGTTCTATCACTGTTGTGTAGCTTCCCCAACTACATCCCACTCCACAGTCCTCAGTGCAACCCTGTACAGTAGGAGGCAGAATGATCTCAATGTAGGTTCAGATTCAAGCACCCACTGCCAAACCCTGTCAGTGAAAGGGACTTGATCTGCATCAGGCTCACAACTTTTCTATGTATCTACAATCATCAGCCACAAAATGCCCCTCTCATGCAGCTGTAAAAGGATATCAAGACTAAACTAACATAGTTAACTGAGGGCTTCAGGAAATTATGAACTGGGAGTGCTCAGGGGAAGGTGGTAGTGACAAAAACACAACTCTGCAATGTAATTCACATTCTTGAGTCTTATAAGGTCCCCAGCCTTAAGGATGCGCACACCATCAGCGCCTGAATATCCATCCCAGACTGCCCAATGGCAACACACCATCAGCACCTGACCATCCATCCCAGGCTGCCTCATGGCAACACACACCATCAGCGCCTGACCATCCGTCCCAGGCTGCCCCATGGGAACATACACCAACAGTGCCTGTACCTCCATCATGGGTTACACCTAAGGACCCACACCAGCTTGTTCAGTTGTCATGAACCAACTCCCAAGGGCATTGACAGCAGCAGCTCCTGTTTGTGTCACACACACCACCCACTAAGGCAGCTCATATCATTGCTACCACACTGGCCCTTTCTTCTGGGCCACCTATGAACACCCACGCTGATGGTGTATGATTGCATGTGTTCACTCGTCACAGGATGTCCCTAAAGCTGCTGACATTGATGGTTCCCATGACAACCCATTCATTCAGCATGAGCTTACCTCTAAAGATATTTGTACCAAGAGTACCCATGCCAGCCTGGTTATCTGTCATGGGTTGCCCATGCTCAGAGTTCGTCCTAGACAGGCCACACCTCATTGTGTTCTCACAGTTGGTGCCTGTGGCATTCTGTTTATGCCTCATCTCATGGACAGCTGTCATACTGCCTTAGACCTTGAGAAGACAGACTAGATTTGCAGTGTGTTCCATGGTGCCTTTTAAACTGTTGAGTGTCCCAAGGGCTTCACAAAGCAAGAGCCTGGATACTATAATGCTGTGATTGGGATGGCAAATAGGGCACCCATTTTGGTGCACAGCTACAACTCACACATCTCTGGAGGTCAAAAACTGTTTTTACTGGGAAAAGCCAGGACAACCCCTCCCACTGACATGTTAGCAACACTAAGGAAGCTTCAACTCATCTGGACAATGTCCAACTGGGGACGGAAAGAAGAGATCTGAATGTAACATATCCAATTATTTCATATCACATTTCCCATTTCATCCCCCACTATAGCACCGAGGGTTATCCCAAATCTCTATGTGGGACTTGAACCCATGACCTGCCGGCCTAGAAGAAATTGCAGATACAATACAAGAGGTATATCTGATGACACAAAAACTCGTATGTCATTGTCACTCTCTTTTTTCTGGTGGTGAGAGATGAACTCAGTATTAAATATTCAGGAGCTGGTGTTCTCTAGACTGCTATTGGAGTATGTTGAAACATTCCCCTCTCTGCATAAGTCTGTGACATACTTAATGAATCTCTGTCATGCTCACATGGAGGGAATCTATGACTTCACTGCCCCTGGGATCTCCCTGAGAATGGGAGTAAGGTGTGAGAACAACAGGGGACTCAAGGGCAACCCTGGCATTTTTTATGTGTGCACGTTTCTGTCTTTTCCCATAGAGAAGTGAGTGTGACAGTGCACCCCATAAGGTTTTATGGAAATATGCTTATGAATGTATATATGACATAACTGGAATATGTTTTGTGCTACATATGCCATGTAACATATCTCTGTAAAGGTTATGATCTACTGAATACATTCCTCCTATTTGTATACCTGTATCATTTTTGTACTTGAAGTTAGGAATATTGGTATACTTGCTTGATTTCTAAGTAGCCTTAGTTAAGCATTTGGACAGCTTCTTGGACAGGGGGTGGGAGGGGTGTCCGCACACAAGAGAAAGTCTATTGAAACCCCTGGGAGACCCCTGCATTTGGTCTTCAGCTGGCTCAAGAGATAGCCTCTCCACCCCCAAGGATATCTGAGAGAAACTGGAACAAAATACAGCAACTACAGGTGGTGTGAGTGATTACTAGACCCAGACTAGAAGGAGACTAGTCTGTAAAAGGAAGCTTACTGGAACACCTCCAAGGGTGAGGTTTTATCTGCATTCAGTTTTCTTACTGTATTAGACATAGACTTGCGTGTTCTATTTTATTTTGCTTGGTAATTTACTTTGTTCTGTCTGTTACTACTTGGAACCACTTAAATCCTAATTTCTGTATTTAATAAAATCACCTTTTACTTATTAATTAACCCAGAGTATGTATTAATACCTGGGGGAGGGGAAACAGCTGTGTATTTCTTTCTATCAGTGTTATAGAGGGCGAACAATTTATAAGTTTACCCTGTATACGTTTTATACAGGGTAAAATGGATTTATTTGGGGTTTGGACCCCATTGGGAGTTGAGCATCTGAGTGTTAAAGACAGGAACGCTTCTTAAGCTGCTTTCAGTTTAAGCCTACAGCTGTTAGGGGACGTGGTTCAGACCTGGGTCTGGGTTTGCAGCAGGCTAGTGGGTCTGGGTCAAACCAGGCAGGGCACTGAAGTCCGAAGCTGCCAGGGCAAGAAAGCAGGGGCAGAAGTAGTCTTGGCACATGAGTTGGCAGCCCCCAGCGGGTTTCTGTGATCCAACCCATCACAGTGAGACTTTTAAGGCCCCTCAAAATAAATGGATTGAAGGAAGCATCCAGGGCAGACTCTCTACCTGGAAGCATTATGAAATGCATGTCGTGTATTTGGGGAATACATTAAAAGAAAGTGGAGGGGATATTGGTAGGATAACCGTGGGGTGGGGGGTGGACAGCTGAGTAGCAGGCAGAAGATGCTTCTTTGAGCTGCCCTCCAGTAACATCACATGAATCAGAAAGAGACAGCTCCCTGGCTGTAATCATGATGAGCACGAGCCAGCCCCTAGAACAGTGGTTCCCAAACTTTAACAACCCCTTTCACTAAAAGGTCAAGTCTCGTGAACCCCCTCGTGGAAATGAATATTTACAGGGATTTTCTCCCTTACCTCACCATAAATTAGAAAAGCAGTGATCTTGGAAATATAAAATGTGTTTTTATGACATGCTTACTACACACTATTTATTAATTATTATCATTACAGTATTTTAATTACATTATGAAAACAGCAACACCCTTCCAAGATCTCACTTTTGTAGCTTGTATCAGTTTTGATTAAGCCTGTTATAAGACAAGGCTCCTATCAGAGGCACCAGTAGAAAAAAGGGATGCGGGGGCAAAGCCTGCGTGCACCCTGGGGCCTGGGGGGCACCGCCTAGGGTGACCATACAGCAAATGTGAAAAATCGGGACAGGGGGTGGGGGGTAATAGGAGCCTATATAAGAAAAAGACCCAAAAATCGGGACTGTCCCTATAAAATCGGGACCTCTGGTCACCCTAGCACGCCGGAAAAGTGGGGGGGGAGCAGGGGCTGCCAGAAAGAAAGGGGAGGGACCTGCGGGGGTGTTCACGCCGACGCGGGGGCAGCACGTGACCCTCGTCGTCCCCCCGTACTGGCGCCTCTGGCTCCTATGTTTCATCAAGGAGTATCAGATGTGAAACAGCATGAAGGTATTTAAGAAGCCAACTCAAAGAGTTCCTCCTACACAAGAATTCAGGTCTTGAGCTGTCCAAGCAAACAATGCACGTTACAACAAAGCTTAAACTTGTTCTTCATAATAATTTAAAAACAATACTAGCAACCTATTTAATTTTAAAAACAGCAAAACATTTCTGCCTCCCTTTCTATTTCATATGAGGAGTCTTGAAGTTTA